TCAGCAGGGTTAACAAAGAGGGAGGGGCTGCTGTGAGCTTGGTGGCCGCCAAGTTCAACTGCAGGCCAGCCGGGGAAGTCCGCCGCCTGTGGGAATCGCGACGGGGCGGCCAGAGGCCCGTGTGCGAGGCCAGCCAATGAACAAACTGGGTTTCCGTGGAAAAGAAAATCCAGCGTTTCCACAAAGTCGCACCGACGGTCTCGTTCCCATCGCTCCGCCTGGCCGCCTCCCCGCCCCCTGCTTAGAGCTGCGGCTCCAGCTCCAGCTTCCGAGAATGGACCTTCCACCAGCGGCCTGTCCATAAGCTGCAGCTATTCCAGCGGCCCTGATAGCTTCGCTCCCTCGATTGACGAAGGGGCCTCCGAGCCTCATTCGCAGGGTGGCCCCGTGTGCTGAATGTCGCTCAAAGGAAACAGGCCCCTTGTTCACGAGCCAAGACTTTCTGCTCAAGGGTTTCCTTCCTTTCTCCTTTCTCTCCCTCTCTCGCTTTTTTTTTTTGTATCAACACTTCCATGAATTCAGAACTCCGATCCCCTCGGCTCGGAGTTATCAAAATATCAACACCCTCGACAACCTGCTGGTGTCAGAAGTGAACGGCCGGGAGCCCTTGGACTCTACGCGGAGGCCGGCTTCCAGTTCCAACCTTTGATCTCCCCTTATAAACCAGGGCCCCGTAAAATATTGCAGGGATTTATGGCTGGCCTTTCCCCAGTTGAGCTGCATCCCACCTAAAACAACACAGGGGGACTTGCCAGAAGGGAGAAAACTGTTTGGGTTTCCCTGCTTTGGAGAACTTGATACATGCACATCAAGAAGGACTTGCGCTTTCTCAAAACAAACACGACCACCCCTTTCTCCCAGACAGGCGGTTCAAGAGAATGAGTTATGCTGCTCTACTGTATTTTCTTGCAGGGAGATATCCCCCCTCCCCCAGTGTTCAATCATGGAGAAGCCAGACCCACAGTGCTATCTCAAGTTATTATGACACTTAGAACAAAAACCTCCCCAGGACTCAACAGGGATATTGGTTTCTTATCTCACTACATATGCTGACTCATTCAGTCCTCACCTACATATTCTCAGCAAGAAGGACTATACATCCTCTGTATTTTAGTGCATTTCTTTTTCAGAAGAGTATATTAGAATACTGAATGTAATGCAAGGAATATTGGGATGTTTTGCTGAGATACCACTACACCCATTATAAAAACATGCTGTTATATTACCTCCACATCTGAGAGGAGATGAATGGTGAGTCTCAATTTACTTCCAACTATTAGAACAGATGCCTTTACACACTTATTCCCTATTTTGACATATTTATGCTTTGGTGTCCTTCCCCCCCCCTTAATTAAATCAAAACAACTGTTGACCTTATAACCTTAGCTTATTTAGTTTTGTTTTTGCATAACTGAAAACATCTTCATCATGTTACATGTAAATTTACCGTTCAGCCTTTCTGTACGTTTGAACTCATCCTTCCATTCCAGTGTACTTGAAAAAGTGTGCATGCACACAAAAGCTCATGCCTTGAATACACCTTTGTGGGCCTTAAAGGTGCCACCGGACTCTAAATTTGTCCTACTGCTTCATAGAACCATAGAGTTGGAAGGGGCCATACAGACCCTCTAGTCCAACCCCCTGCCCAAGGCAGGACTAGCCTAAAGCATCTCTGACAAATATCCAGCCTCTTCTTGAAAGCTGCCGGCGAAGGGGAGCCAAACCACCTCCCTAGGCAGCTGATCCCACCTCTGAACCACTCTGACCATGAAAAAGTGTTTCCTAATCTCCAGCCGATACCTTTCTGTGTGTCATTTAAACCCGTTGCCAACTCCTCTGCTGCCAACTGGAACAGCTCCCTGCCCTCCTCCAAATGTTAGCCTTTCAAGTATTTAAAGAGAGCAATCATGTCCCCCCGCAGTCTCCTCTTCTCCAGACTACACATCCCCAGGGCCCTCAGCCTTTCCTCGTAGGGCTCGGTCTCCAGACTCCTGATCACCCTCGTCGCTCTCTTCTGCACCCTCTCAATTTTGCCCACATCCTTTTTGAAGGGAGGCCTCCAGAACTGCACACGGGACTCCAGGTGCAGCCTGACCAAGGCAGTGTGCAGAGGGGCTATGATGACCTCCTGCGATTTCGATGCTGTGGCCCTTTTAGTACAACCCAAGACTGGATTTGCCTTTTTGCTTCAGAATTTGCTTCAGACCCTCACAGCTGACCATTTTCGCCAGGGCTGAGAAAACAGGGTTGCACTGACCTGAAACTGTTGTTCATCGTGCGGTCTCCTGCACAGACACACATGGGACCGTGCTTGCACAGGTCCGCCGTGGAACTATTTTCTTTAAAACTCTCTAGAAGACTTGGAGTGCTTAGCCTCCTCCTCAGATGAGCCAGCTTCTTCCCACACAGCTGGCACGTGGCGAGGCGAGCGCCCTTCTCACCGCCGTGGAACGATCCCGTGAGCCCAAGGATCCCCACAGGGAAAGAGGGGAGGGGACGTGTGCCTTCACAGAGGACCACTCGATGAACAACAGTTACAGGTACGCGCAACCCCGTTTTCACCTTCCCGGCTTCTGCGCGGTCCCACACGGGAGAAGAGCGAATGTGGGATCCTCCGTGAAACAAGGATGGAAAAACTGCTTTCTCCACAGCTGCGTCTCATCTTGACCTTCTTTGGAGGTTTTTAAGCAGAGGCTGGATGGCCATTCTGACAGCAATGCTGATTCTGTGAACTTAGGCAGATCATGAGAAGGGAGGGCAGGAAGGGTTGCCTCAGTGCTCAGTTCTCGTGGCCCTTTCTTACACGCCCAGGGAAACGCCGACCGCCACTTTGGGGTCAGGAAGCCATTGTTCTCCCGGCCAGTTTGACCGGGGATCCTGAAGAGTTTTTTGCTATCTTCTGGGTGTGGAACAGGGGTCACTGGGGGTATGGAGGGGGGAGGTATTTGTGAATTTCCTGCATTGTGCAGGGGGTTGGACTAGATGACCCTGGAGGTCCCTTCCAACCAATGTTCCCTCTAAGCTGTGGGGTCTTGTGAGCAAAAATTCAACTTTGTGAGCTACTGAGACGCCTTCGGGTAGTGGAAGGTGGGTTATAAATCCAATGTCGTCGTCTTCTTCTTCTTCACTCAGGGCAAACTCAACACTGAGAATTATATGGGACGAGCCTGGAAATTAAAATCGCATCTCCAAAATACTTTAAGAGAAATCAGTGGAACAGCAACAGGCAGAGGTCTTCGCCCTGTTCTGACTGTTCCCCATCTCAAAAAGGATACCGCAGAAGTACAGTAAACGGGCTACCAAAACTGTCAGGGTTTGGACCACCTTCCCTGCGAAAACACACTACAGTGCTCGAAGCATTTTAAGTTTAGCAAGAACGACAGACCAATTAACCGGGGGGTGGGGGGAACGGGACACAGTGGTGTATAAAACTAATGGAAAGTGTGGAGAAAGACTAAAAAAGGGGAGGGAATCTGTCTTTTTAATACACTCTAGAGTTCAGGGTTGTTCAACAAAATTGACTGGAAGTCGATGTGGGGCTGATTAAGGAGAGTGCTGCTTCAAGAAGCGCCTGCTTAACATGCGCATCTCTTTAGCAAGCAGTGCCCCTGTGGCCTTTAGCTTTTAAAAAAAGGATTCATCTGTGGAAGGCAGGGCTACCAATGGCCGTTCGCCACCATGGCCAAATGGACCCTTCCACTTCAGATGCGGTAGGACCAGACCTACAGACCCCATTAGCGGCGAAGCGACTTGGGCCGATGCCAAGTGCAGCCAGTTTCACGGCGGGACGTGATATGTCCGACGCCCGCTTCATTCTCACCTTCTGCACCAGGTAGACGCTTGTTGCTCTCTTGCTGGCGACGTTATCCAGTGCCGTTCCTTCCGGCACAAAATAGCTGACGTCGGCGATGTGCACTCCGACTTCGAAATTACCTGAAAAGGCAAAAGGTGTTGGAAAAATGGGCAAAAATACTTAAATGCTCAGAGTTTGCAATGGGTCTTTGCTTCACTGGAGAGGAGGCCTTTCTGTGTAAAAATCTTTATTTCTAAGGGAAGGGGACACAGGGAAATCTACAAAATAGCAAAGACCTAAGGCTACATCTCTACAGCTACAGGACAGACCGACCACACGGTCTCACAACAACCACAGCAACAACAGCAGCAATGGAGATTCTTCTTCTTCTTGACCCCTAGAAGGAAATCATCTGAATACATTAACCAATGATTGTGAGTAAACAGACTTCGATTTCCCAGGCTTTCTTCCCACTGGCTTTGAGCCAGGGTTCCCTTCCAGGTCAGTCTAAACAATAGCACACAAGGTAAACAGATTAACCCTATAATGACTGGATTAGTGACATGTTTGACACCCCCGCCTTAGGGGGTAGGGCATATTCCCCCACCAACCAACAGTCCCATATCTTCGGGCTGCAGAAGCTCAGTTTCACTGAAGAAACTGCAATTTGGCTGACCTCTGACAACACCCTGAGACTGACCAGCGGGGACAGCAGCACTTTGGCCTGTGAAATGCCTGGGAAACGTATTACGGTGAGTTAAGGGAATGTTCCAAGGTTACGTCATCCGGGCAGGATGAAGAGGACTCCGTGTCACCCCCAGCACAAGTATCCTTTTCAGTATTAAACAGAATTCCAGCAGCACCTTGAAGACTAATAACATTTGCTTCAAAATGGACTTCCATGAATCACAGCTCCTTTTCCTCCGATACGTTCCCTTCATGTATCTCAGGGGGGGGGGGGCTGACTCAAAAAAAGCTCACATTGAAAGAGATGCAGATCTCATATTGAAAGAGATGTCGTTTGTCTTTAATTCGGGGCTCCTGGACCTTTCTGAGCCTGTGGGCACCTCTGGAATCCTGACACACAGTGGTGGGTGCGACTGCAAAATGGCCGCCGACCACAAAAAGTTAGGGAGTGGGGTCATACATAGTAACTCTTCAGCGTTTCAGGCAGAAGATCTGATTAAGAAGAAGAAGAGTTTGGATTTATACCCCGCCCTTCACCAGGGGTCATTTCCTGCAGGAGCGCACAGGAGCGGAGCTCCGGCAGTAAAGAGCCCAGGGGGCGGGCACATGCAACAAGCCCCGCCCCCTGCTCCCAGCAGCCCTCAGTCAGAGCAAGAAGCAGCCAGGTAAGTGGCAGAGGCCCCCCCAGGCCCAAA